TTAAAAACAAATTATTAAAAAATCAATTTAAAAAAAAAATTTTGTATTAATTATTAATATAAAATTTTAATAATAATGTTTAGTACATCTTTAATGGTCTTTAAAAAAGAAACATATTTAGATATAATATTTTTAACAAATCCAATAAAGAGGAACTAATTATAAAATTTATTGTTGTTTATCAGGATATTATAGGGTCAACTACGATGCTAAGAATTGGCAAAAAATTTCGGATTACCTAGACTCTGAAAACTATACAAAAATACATGCTCTTAGTCGTGCCCAAATTATCGATGACGCGTTTCATTTAATGATAACACGCCAACTTGATACCTCCATATTCTGGAATCTCACGAATTATCTATCGCGAGAAACAGATTATGTGGCATGGTATCCTATGTTTAAAGCTCTGGAATACATGTCGAGTGTTATTCCACTGTCTGATAAAAAAGTTGATATTATCAAGGTAATTATTAATTAATTTCTAATAAAGCTATTAATTTATTTCTATTTTATTAATTAATTTTGTAGTCAATAAAGATATTATTTACAAGCAAGTTATAAATATGTACAAAATTATAGATATACAATATTTGTATGTGTGTACAAATATTTCTTTTTTTTCTCTTTTTTCTGCATATATTGTTTACCATATTAGTATAATACTTTACTAATTGTAAATATAAAATGTATTATTTATTAAAAATCTACATTATGTCATATTCATAGAGCAATATTATACGGATATATTTCTTTATCATAAACTTTTCTATTTAAAAACTCGCAAACATATAGCAAAGACTAAAATTTAGCTTTATACAAAAATTATATGACTTTAATAATTTGTATTAAATTATCAAGTAGAAAATTCGTGCATGCAGGTTTCCTTGGTAAAGTATTGTTCAAATATGTTATTATTCAATTTTGACAATTCAAAACTTTGAAAATTGTTACGGATAGACGGAATACATTCTCAATTATGGTACGATTGTGTAAAGTTTATAACCCGTCTAACAAAAAGATTATTAAATAATTATTGTAGATTTTGGGGTAAAACACGCAGAGAATACACATATTGATAATTAATAAACAAGTGACAAAAAAATTTTAATTTTTTCAGCGTACACACAAACAAATATAAAATATATATCATTTAATTATTTTAGACAAAAATGCAAAAAATATTAAAGGAATTGTATCTAAAAACCACCAAAAATGTTCCGAAAGACGATCTTGGAATATGTTTAAAAGAAGAGGCTGCAAAATGGGCGTATTTTTTCAATGATCCGTTATACAAAAAAGATGCCAGCAAGAGAACGAAAGATTTTTTTCATCATCATCCTGTCTTTCACTATAGGTATAGTTTTCCTTATATATTCTATAATCAGTTTCTTATGATATACATATAACGCGTTTAAAATAAACTCTTCTATCAAAATACGTAAGACTATGTGCTAAGATTTTTTAACAAAATTTTATTTTAAGTTTAATTATATTTTAATTCTATTTTTAATCATACTTTTTTAATTATATTTTTAATTATAATTTCAAATATATTTTTTATTTAATAGACTTGTCCCACAGTGGGACGAATGGACGCACTGTAGAGGTTTGGCCACAGACGTCACTTGGATGGAGATGTATGAGCTCTGTGAACAAACAGCTGATGTTAAAATTTTAAAATTCTTGGCATGCTCTGACAATCCTTATAATATCAGGAACTTGTTAGTTCTAATAAATAAATTCCGATCGTTTATTCATCCGGAAGATCATATTTCAAAAATTATACTTATTGAAAGTTATCTTTTTACTATTGAGAGACATGCAAACAACAATGATACACTTGAATATATATTAGACCATTTTGATACATCAAAACCTAGGTAAAAAAAAAAAAAAATAAAAAAAGATGATATTTTTCTTTATAAATATATAATTAATCACACATGAAAGCTTATTATCTGTACATTTTTTAATTTTATAGAGAACTCAGCGCAATTATACCATTAACTGTTATTATTAATCATGTATATTCTCAGCAAAAACTTAACAAGGTAAATGTTTCATAAACTCATTAACGTGAAGAATGATTTTTATTATACTAAACCAAATTATTGCTTATTAATGATAATCAAAAATAATTTGTTTTAGATAATTTTCTTTTTTAATGATAATGCATATAAAGCAAAAGTTTTTGATCCATCTGCACATATGGACGAAGTAACCTATCTAGAAGCAGAGGTAAATTTTATGAGTTGAAATATCATATAGATAGAAAATTAGATTGCATCAAATAATTACAATGTAAAAAGAAATTAGAATATGATTGAAAAGTAAAGTTAATCGATGTGATAAGTTAATATTAATTTTTAATTTCTAAATAAAATTTGCTTTTTTTAATGGAAAACAAATAAAATACAAAGATTAAATATATAAATCAAATTTAAAATAAAAATTTATATTATATAAACTGATTATATACATATTGAAATTAAACTATCCACATCTAGTAGTAAAGAAAATGAATATTGGTAACGTAATATTAATATTTAATGTAAATATTGATTAGGTTAGATAAAAAATCAAGTTATATATAAAAAGATATATAAGAAATTTTTCTCTTTAAAATTTTTTTGTTATTTTGTTATTTGCATTTGCTTATAAATAATAAATATTTCAAAAACTATATTAATAAACCTAGTTAAAAAAGAACAAAAAATAATACAGCAAATAAAATAATATAAACAATTTGGCAGACTAATAAATAACGAACAAAATAATATGGACCAGTAGTTTCAATAATTTATGTCAAATTATATAAAAATTTAATTTTTCGATAATAAATTATCGATAATAAATTGAGACAATCTATTTTAGATAGGCGATATGTGGTATAACATTGGAAAACACGCTTCGCTATTTACAAGCAAGATAAAAATACGTGAAAACGAAATACAAATTCAGAAAGATAATCTTCAGAGATTTGGACCAAAAAAAAAGTAAAAAGGAAAAGTAGGTATCATACATATACATATTTGTGTTACAAAAAATTTTCCTTATAATTTATATTTATTGATATATAATTGATTAGATTAATGATATTTGATATATCTGCATTTACCAGAGTACTTTATGACACACTAATCGTCGATTTTTTTTCAATTTTTGCAAATAATTTAATTATACAGCTAATTATGTAAATAAAAAAGTTTATTTTTTAAATTATGTGGAGAAAGGCCGTTGTAGATATAAATATATTAAATATCATGAATGATATCCCAAAGGGATACTATTTATCTTTGAATAATTTTCTTTATTCTTGCAATGTAATACGCATTTTTTTATTTCTTAATATTTGTTATTTATGTAGTTAATATTTATATTAAAAAGATTAATAATATAT